GATCGCTGAATTGTGTTGTTTACATGCACTTCGCGAAAAACTAGCTTCGCGGTGTCAAAAAAAGTTGCTGACTTCCAACACACTTTTTTATTTCGTCATCGTAAACATGTGCGTTCATTTTAACGACTGGCGTTGGTGGTAGTTCGTTGAAACTAAATTAATAGCGACTATTATAGCAAAAATGGAAAAGATTGAATTATCAATAAATAAATACAACAAATCTGATTTTATTATTAAGAAAAATATACATTATCACTTAAAACGTACGCAATCGGACTTTTTAACGTTATTACTTGGTCGATGATGCAAAGGGTAAAGGCCATTGGTAATATCGACTATTCGTAAAACAGACGTTTGCTGGGTTTTTACACATAATATTACAAAAATAATTTCTGAAAACCAGACTAATGAGACTACTTTGCTGCTATTGTCACAACACTGTTTGGAGTTGTGGCCAGCCATAGGATGATAATAGTGGTACAATACAACAACGCTAGCTTAGATGCCTACGTTACGTAATCGTGTCCTTGTAACCTGAGTTAATTTACCGTTATTCTAGTAAAGTTACTTAAAATTAAGTAACTTATACCTTTTTCTAGCTATAATTGAGTGGTTCACGTCAAACTTATAACTAGTTAAGTGGATTTATATCTAGATAAATGTTCGACGTGAACCAGGCTATAGGGTCCATTGTATGCATGAATGAAAACAATCATGCCTATGATGAAAAAAATAAATAGAAATATTAATAAGAAAATTTTATGCCACTTGATAGTAAATATTTGTTAATTAACTTAAATAAAAGCTTATCTTATTTTTGTTGGTCACGCACCAATGACTTGAGTAGTTTGTCCCCAAGATGGCGAATTGAGGGCGTACAGTAGTCACGTAACCTGAAGCGCCAATGTGGCAATTACTGTCTATATAAGAACCATACAATAAGGTAAAACCTCCCTTAACAAACAACGTTTTCAATTTAACTTTCTGAGTTAATTATATCCAGGAACTGATTATATTCTTTATTCATTCATTGTCAGTAGTTACAGTTTGATTCTCCCTTAAAATTCAAAAGCTAAAGGTAATCCAGTATTCATTGCTGAACTTAAGGCTTTTAGGAGCCAATTGTACCAGAGAACAGTGAAATTACAATGTAATTTCACTGTTTCCTGATTGTACTAAACTGAGCTTTGCGTGGTATGGTGAGCAGATCCTTGACGCATTTAATCCTTTAACAATGCGCAACGCATCGGCAATTTGATTTAATACTTTGAGTTTAACTACGTCTAATTTATACTGCAGTGTATTTGACTTGATTAATAGTATCTATTTAGCTGCGAGCAATTCGTGTACTGAGCCAGTACTCTGTTTCAGAGACATGTTAATAAAACAGAGGCATTCCATAAACATGGCTTTGATTTCAGTAGTTTTATGAATAATAGAGTTAATTGGATAGGTTACTATGCAAAGGGTTTAAGAGTAAATAATCATTTTACACGTTGAACTTGTATAGACCTATGAACGAAACAAGGAAATTGGCCTATACATGTAGGCCTATCCTCCGGAACAGGTAATCGGAAGACCTTAGGTTCAAATCTCGATGATGGATATAATTCGTTTAATTGAAAAGTTGCTACTGTAGGCCTAACTAATTTAATGAACAGAAGCTTGTCAGCAATATTTTGCATCAATGCAAAGACACTATCAGAGTCTCTTGACATGCATTTAGTTCCACTTTCTTTGCTTTCTTTTTTATAAATAAAAGAATGAGTACAAATCAATTAAATAATGTACTGTAAGTCAATAACTGAATATCCAGATGATTATTAAGATTCATTAAATATGGTTTAAATATAATAAATAAGTAGAGCATCACCATTATCATCATCATTATCATCATCAACATCATGATCATCATCTTTTTCAGATTCGTTATGGATTGCAACATGCTGTTCTTAACCCGTACGCACCGGCTTGCTTACCTACTGATGAGGTGACACTAGCTCAGAAGATGAAAGAAGCTGGTTACTCAACGCATATGATTGGTAAATGGCATCTGGGTTTTTACGAAGAGGCGTGTCTTCCCAACAACAGAGGATTCGATACCTACTTGGGTATGTATCGATATCATGTAATTGACAATCAACTGATGGGAATGCCAACCTATTTAACATTCAATCGATTGGTTAGAGGATCGGTCAATCAATTGATCATTTGTTCTTTCTTGTCTTCCTTCTTTTGCATTCATGAAAATTGTTAATTTTTGTGTCAACCAAAATTTGGTCACATGTACTATTTTGTACTACAGGATCTTAAAAATCGTTCATGCAGATTGTCCGAAATATATAATTTTCATTCATCTCCACAACACCCTATGAAATCATCTATTTTAGTAAGCAACTTTCTTTAAGAGACATGGTGCCACTTTTGACATTTGGTCCTTGTTTATCATTAATATATTATTTTAAATATATTTTTGTTTGTTGCTTTTGTTTTGATTTACAGCCTTATGATGTTTATTGGCCCGTTTTTATTAAAGTTTCTTTGTATTGTTTAGCATTCAGTTAAACATTTTTATTTTAAAATTGTTTTTATGTATGCCTAGTTCTAAGTTTGTTTATTGTTAGTAAAAACTGTTATTTTGGATGCACCACTATTGTGTGTACCACCAATCATAACGTGTTATTCCTAATAAATTGATTGATTGATTATTATGGTAATTGAATAATTGGTTCATTTATTATGTAATTCTCGATAGGCGGTAGTAGAAGCGGTTGGTACTAAAAATTTCTTCTATTAATAACTTTTAGGTCTTTTGGTGGGCGGAGGCTACCATTTTATCCATTCTTTCCCGACAACTCAGCACTACGACTTCCATCGGGACTTCTCACCTGCAATAGAATACAACGGCACTTACTCTACTCATGTATTTACTGATGAAGCAATCGACATCATAAACAACCAAGATGAAGATACGGTACGATTTAATCTAATTTCATAAGGGAATTATGTTCAACATCTAGGCAACAGAAACATGTTTAAAGTAGTGGGGCTTTGCGGCAAAGCATTTAGCCTTTTTTCTAAAACCCATGTCAACCCCGCCCGGAGCCGCCATGCCTAAAATTATGTGTTTCTACGCATGCGCTAAATTTTGCATTGTATAAACGCGATCGAGTTTGTAAAAATTTCCAAGGAAAGTAATCATCAGACAAGTTTTTGATTTTTACGAACTTTTAGAGAGAGTTCATATAAAGATGCGAAAAACCAATATTGTTGTGATATTTTACGGTACTACAGGATAAACGAGTTTGGAAGAAATAATAAAAAAAAAACCAGAATATTAGGCCAGCTAGTGTGCTTACTTCCAATAGTATTACTACAATAAGGTACAATGTTACTACAACAACTATACTATGTAGGTATTATAGGTTTAACCAAGCTAGTCTACGAGGCTTATACTCTAATAACTAGCACTAGGGACCTCTTGCTATGGCCCAGTCTAGGCCTTTTAGTGAAGAACTAGCCAATGGCCTATATCTTCGGGCCTAGCCTTATTTAGTTTGGCTATCCCTGTAGGCCTTTAGCACTAAAATTGCCTGTTGTTTAAATAGCAATAAAAACCTAAAAATTCAAAATAAAATAAAATGTAGGCTTAGGCCTATAGATAGGCTAACACCTTTTATGGTTATATGCCCAGTTTAAAATGTAAGTAGGATGCCTCGGCTAGCCCCTGTAATGTTATATTATTATTATTTATTTCAATTTGGAAGCGCTGCAATTTGTCGATACATGAAATTAGTGTGCAATATTTTTGGACTTTTCCAACATAATTTGCAAAATTGCCTATAGTCTTCACTTAAATTTAAAGATGTATTGTCCCATGCTAAATACCAAAAAAATCATAAAAATATTTTTTGAAATTAAATTGCCCATTTTGAAGTAACATAAAAGTTATTAAATTGAACACAGAAATTAGTGTATTTAAAAAATGTCTACCCATCAGTTTACAGCGAAAAATGATAGAAACACTTTCTGTCCATGGAGGAAACACTGTCATTATACAGAGTTTCTTTTCACAAACTCTATCGCGTTAAATAAGACGAAAAATGCTAGCGTACCGTATGTGTAGAAACAACATAATTTTGGGCACGACATAGGCTCAGGGTTGGCACAGCGGGTTTACGAAAGGGCTAAAGTAAATGCTGAGTCGAATCCGTTTATCAATATAGTTATTTCACAGAATGAAATGCTTGTTTTAATTTTGATATAATATTATTATTTTCGTAAAATGGGTAAACGATTTTCTACTTGGCTAGCCTACTTGGCTAGCCTACCTGATGGGGCTACTTATATTTAATATATTCACGGCCTGCAGTATCATTTATGACCTTCTTAGTTATTACACAGAACACGCATTATAAAATCCACCCTAACCAATGGCGTATATACGTGGAGGGAGAATTAGGGTGCATTATCCTAAGAAAGTCTGGGCCCCCAGGCGTCCCACTAACAATTTTCAAAAAAAAAACAAACAAACAAAAAAAACCTACGCCTAAATAGTTAAAAATTATTAGCGCAGTATATAAGACCTTGTCTGCCTAAGTCCTCTCTCTCAGTTGCTGATGTGTCGTTGGTACGACGAAATCGAAATATTCAACATTTATTCTTGTGGATTTGTATCACTCTTTAGGTACAGTCATCTTATTACGTATTCTCTATTACAATGAGAGTGAAAAATCAAGCTATATTTATTCAAATTATAGTTAAAAATTACTCATTAAATTGAATTTAAAATCAATTCATTAGCCTTTCTTCGTGTACCTATTAATTTTAATTCAATTAAATTCGATTTTTTAGCCTTTTTTCATGTACCTGTCCTACCAAGCACCCCACTCTCCTCTTGAGGTACCAGAGAGATACAAGGACCCATACCGCAGTATATTTAATGATGAAGACAGACTTATCTACGCTGCTATGGTATCTTGTTTAGATGAGGGTATCGGAAACATTACAGCTGCATTGAAAGCTAAGGGAATATATGACAACACTGTCATAATATTTTCTAGTGGTGAGTAGGTTTACGATATGTTTAATGTGGGTAACCGTGTTGTATTACACAAAACCGAAAATTATCACTCCCTATAATTATCGTCAGTCATCGATTTTTAGAAAACTAAGCTAATAAGTAGCTTTTGATTTCGCGACGACGACGTAATGACGCCACGTAGAGTCGCCTGCGCATCCGTTTTCAGTAGCTTACCGTAAATGCTCGAATAAGCACCGCTCTCGATTAAGCGCCGCTCTCGAATTCGCTTAATTTCGAGTGAGTAAGCGCCTGTGTGCAATGAAACACTTTAAGAAATAGGGTAATAAATACAATGTATACAGCGTTCAAATGAATATTAATAACACAATGACACAAGAATATCTTTATAAACGTTTATTTTCGATGATGTACAGTCTATGATAGGCCTACCGAACTATGGGAATACGTAAGATTGATAACAATAGGAACAATGGAAAGAGCCACGCCAATATTTTTTTTATAAGCGCCGTCTTGTTTAATCACCGCTCTGAAGCCTCAAAAAATCTTATAAGCGCCGCGGCCCTTATTCGAGCACTTACGGTATCTGCAAATGTTTGGAACATTAGTGTGTGAAAAATCAGTTGCTTGAAATGGGATTTGAATTCGAAGCCCCAGTGTCACAGCCGATTAAGTAGTCTACATAGACAGCAGAAGTTCTCAACCGGGGTCGCACTTTGTTTGCACTCCTCATAAATATTTATTTGGACTTCAACTTTATTGTCAACAACAGTATTTATAATAATAACATAATTGACAAAAGGTGATAGTTAAATAAAACTAATCTAAGCTTAACACCTCCTTGATGACAAACAATACAAACCAAATATTCTAGATTTACAATAAGTTGAATAAATTAATTTGGACAAACAATAACGGAAGCAGGAGATAAACAAATAATTATAAACAAAAGTAATTATAAAATTAAAAATTATGTATGTGATAAGTTGAATTAAGTGGATCTGAAATATATTTAAAGAATAACTTTTCTTTAATTGCTGCAATAAAATAATTTCTATAAGTAATATTTCTGGTAACTATAGGGGAGATCATTCCATAATTTAACACCATAAAATGAAACTCTGCGTTGGCCTAAACTGATACGAGGTTTGGGCTAGGCAAAATTAATAGTATTGTTAAATAATAGGTCCATGGTTAAATCTAGTATTATATGGGTGATTGATATTTTGAAAGTAATCGCTAGTAGAATGGGGTATTCTTCCGTGATAAACATCAAAAATAAATTTAAGAACATATAATTCATGTAATTTATAAATATCAAAAATTTTAAGCTTAAAAAACAATGGTGGAGTATGGGCTGTAAAATGCGAAAAAGTAATACATCTAACGATCATTTTTTGAGAAAGAAAAATACGTTCTAAATATGAAATATATGTGCCTCCCCAAACCTCGATACCATACGTTAAAATAGGAAATATAAATGAACTATAAAGTGTCAAAGTACTTCGGGGAACATAATGTCTTAACTTAAAAAGAAAACCAGCCTTTTTTTCTAATCTTGTCACATACGTCATCAATATGAAATTTTCAGGAAAGATATTTATCGAACTTAATGCCAACAAAACTAACAGACAAACTTTCTTTAATTAAGACATTATTAATAAAAAAATTACATTGAATACTAATATTTTTATTTTTAGACTGAAAAATCATATAATTAGTTTTTTTAATTTATTGTCAATTTATTAGAATTACACCAACTAATATTTTTTTTAATTCAATATTAATGTCTGATAAATCAAGAATGTTTTCAGAAAAAGAGTGAAATAAATTAGTATCGTTGGCAAATAGACGAAAATCAAAATAATTTGATGAATTAGGAAGGTCATTGATATAAATTTAAAAAAAGAGTGGGTCCCAATACAGAGCCTTGGGGAACCCCGCAAGAAATATTTAATTTATCTGAAACATAATTGTTTGTTGAAATAAACTATTTTCTATTGGAAAGATAATTAGAAAGCCATTTATATGCATTGCCTCGAACACCGTAATGATATAATTTAGAACATAAAATAGAGTGATCAATTGTATCAAAAGCTTTACGAAAATCAATAAAAATACCAACTGAAGATTTTTTATAAATATAATATTGGAGATTATTAACGAGATTAATTAAAGATAATTTTGTATTATAGTTTTTCCTAAAGCCATATTGATGTTTATAGAACAAATTATATATATCTTTCGTAAAATAATTTTTCCAAAACTTTACTTAAAACAGGAAGAATAGAAATCGGTCGATAATTACTCAGCAATTCTGTCTTGCCTTTTTATATAGGTTCTATAGTTTAACCGTGCTATGTGATATTCAAACAATTAGAGTGTCTTCAAACGAATTTAATTATTCATTATCATACATTTTTTGAAAAGATAATGGCGGACCTGAAGGCGAAGGTGATGCGGGTAACAACTGGCCACTGCGCGGACTCAAGAACTCTATGTTTGAGGGCGGTATACGAGTTCTCGGATTTGTTCACAGTCCACTGCTCTCCGACAATGTCAAGGGATCTGTTAGCAATGAACTAATTCACGTTAGTGACTGGTTCCCGACAATCGTCGAAGGTATCGCTGGTTATAATACAAACGGAACTAAGCCACTAGATGGTGTGAACCAGTGGAAATCTATAAGGTATTTTAAATTATAATGTTTGCGTTCGGTCCAAGTTAAATTCACCTGAGACATTAGGTCTAAGTTGGTGAACCTGAGTTTAATTACTAAGCCTAATACGACACAGAGAAGCCTACTTTATTCAACATCATGTTCTAGAATGGATTTCAATAGGTTAAAAATCAAACAAAATCCAGTTTAATTTGATATCTTCAGCTCTTTATGAACGAGTAAAATTTTAAACTTTTGTATTTTAATGATACAATACATTATTGAAATACATTGTTACAGTTGCAATAATAGTCGTATGAAAAAAAATAATGCTTTAAACTATTTGAATATTTTATTGTGAATGATATAATAAATAAAAATACTGTGATTTCTATAAAGCGCATTATGGAATTTTCTGATTTCCTTTGATAGAGGTGGAACGTGCTCTCCTAGATTTGAGATTTTGCACAATATCGACCCCCTTACAACTGTACCTGGTGGGGGCCGTGATTGGGTGATTGAGATGAGTCCTTTCGACGTAACTATCAATGCGGCGATAAGGTATAGAGATTGGAAACTTGTCACTGGAGATGATGGTATGCATATTTTTTCACAAGGAATTTATATTTTTATGTTTGTACGATAATATTTTAGTATTATTTTAATGAAATTAATTCATGAAGGCTTTGGGTGCAATGCGGTACCACTATGCTCGATGATCTGTCTTCTTAATAGCTATTGTACATTGCATCTTTCACATTCTAGTTTTAAACCTTCTGACGTAAACATTTTGGTCTTCACACCATAGACATATATATAAAATCATCTGCGCTTGTACCAAAAGTTGATGAAAACTGAGCTGCATATTGAGTAAAGTTAGGTTTAGCGATGTTATATAGATGATGTAGCGATGTTATATTAACATTTCTTACTTGGCTAATTTTCATCATGTTCTCATTATATTTCTGATTACAAGCTATAATTTTAATTTTATGTTTCTGGACCTTCATATGCACCATAATGGCTGTATATTATAATTAAGTTGTAACGTAATTGCGAGTGATCATTACATCAATATTTTACAGTTCTACATTAAAGTAACATATGGGCCATAGCTTCAACATGTAATAGATCGTCGACATTTTTTGTAATGTATAAAAGATAAAATCAAACGACTCAAAATCGAATCGTCCATAGGCCTATATTTATGATAAACCTGATTAACAATAACTATTTTTAAACTGACTTCTTCAAAGTAACCTTTGCTACATCACGAGGATAATTTAATATTTTAAATGCCAAACTTTTAAATTATGACCGTTTTATTACAGATTTTTAAAAACTTTAATGTTTCATCTTTAAGCAAACATTTTATAATATATGCATAATTATTATCTCGACAGTGATATAGTTCATGTTGGCTTGTGCTTGTTCCTTGGTGTTTTTGTTCTTGTAAATGTTAATGTTTTTGAGACAACTAAGTAAAGTAAAATGGTAAGGCACACGATCCATCACACCCATTTCAATGTTATTTCGTTCCAGGAAAGACAGGGTGGTATGCACCCCCTGATACTGGTATCGAATCGATCGACGGTCCACCAACAACTGAACAAGTGGTCTGGTTGTACAATGTTAAGAAAGATCCAACAGAAATGAATGACCTGTCAGATGAACACCCTGAAGTTGTTAAGTTCTTGTTAACAAAACTTCAGAAGTACTACTTAGACTCGACACCTGTATATTTCCCCGCCCAACAGCGAGGACAAGCTGACCCGTGCTTGAACGGCAACAACTGTATCTGGGGACCATGGACACCGGTGCAAACATAATAACTTGTAGGCCTACCAGACATGGCTGTACAATTATTTTTTTAGATAAACAAAAGTTATTTTTAAGACACTTTTAATAAAAGAACACGGAATTAGTATTCTTTCACAGTGTTATTAAGAAGTAATAATGATACTATTAACAATAATAATTAAACTAATAATTTGGTATTTAGATATCACATTTCGCACTTTGCTTCTATGAGCTTTAAATGAATTATATTAATAGTATAATACATCACATTTGTTGTGTACAATTTAAAAAAAAATAGAATATAATCTGTTATCAAAAGGTGTAAGGGTCGATGTTGATAATGTTTGGAGCCTTGATAATAACAATAATAAATTATAACAAATAGGCCTAACCATGATAAAAATAGTCAGATAATAAAAAAACATATGAAAGGCCGGCCTCTTCAGAAAAACGTCACAGATAAGAAAAGCATTTACATACTTAATAGTACGACAAAGACCATTAACATTATCCACAAAGATATAAAGATTGTAGATTCAGCTTAAAAATTAAATGAGCAACATTTAAAAAAATAACTGTGGTTAAAACATGCATAAAATGTGATTTATTTCGGTATCATTTCATTAATAAGGAAACACTCGGAAGCACAAACAGGAATTCCAATATTTGCGCTGATGATGATGGTGATGATAATAATGATGATGTAATAGATGATCATAATAATGGTGATTATAATGTGAGTTAATAGTGGTGATAGTAATGATAAGGACGATAATTAAATTAGAGGTGTTGAGACAAGTTATTAAAGTTTGCCTTCTTGCGACTGGAAATATTGTTTAGCGCCCCCTATCGGTCTAAAAATGTTTGTTTTGTTTTACTGCATCTTCCCGAACGCGATTTTTTTTCCGTATGAAACATTTGCATGAAACTTCACTCGGGCCATCTCGGATTGACTCGAGTGAGTACGATACGAGGAACAAGATCAGACACTTCGCAATGTCGTGACGCTCGAGTTACTGCATTGCTCTTTCTATGTTTACCTACGGTAGGCCTATGAAATCTCACGGACTTA